GACAGTCATCCCCAAGCTACCGCGGTAGAGGTTCTCCTAGCGGGGTTTATGCAGAAGAAGCTTCAGAAAGAGCTGCCTGTAGTCAACAATCCGCCCGAGCTCCAAGAAGAAATTGAAGAGGCAAAAGGGGCTGAATGGTGCACGATGTGCTCCAAACCGGCAGTTCGTGTCTGGAGCGGGGCAGAGGCAGACAGAATCCGCAAACAGCACGCGGACCGTTTCATCGGCAGCAGGTTCGTGGTCACCCGTAAGGAGGATGAAGAGGGGTCCAGGGTTAAAGCTCGCTGGTGTCTTCAAGGACACCTCGACCCTGACTTTAAGGCCAAAATCCTATCAGGGGCCTGCCATTCTCCTACCATGTCCCAGCTGTCACGCGCCTTACTTCTGCAGATTCTAGTCAGCAAGCGATGGCGCATGTGCCTAGGAGATATAAAAGGGGCATTCTTAGAAGCAGGACCGCTCAAGCCTCAATTTCGTCCCCTCTACGCTCACCAGCCTCCGGGCGGAGTCCCAGGGCTAGACCCCAGCGATGTCATAGAAGTAACTGGCAACGTATATGGCCTGAATGACGCCCCATTCTGGTGGTGGGAAACATTTGATGCCGAAGCCAGGGCAGTGGGATTTGAAAGATCTCAATTTGACAATTGCGTTTACTACTTCCGTAGTGGGGGCGCCTTGACAGGAATCCTTGGGGCACACGTAGACGACTCCATCACTGGAGGGGAAGGTAGCGCCTATGAAGAAGCAATCCGTAAACTCAAGGCCCGCTTTCCTTATCGTAAGTGGAGGATAGGTTCAGGGGAGTTTTGTGGTGTGATGTACTGTCAGGATCCCTCGTCCTTCGAGATCTCCTACAGTCAAAAGGAGTATGCCCAGCATCTGCGCCCAGTGAGTCTCTCCAAAGCACGCGCGGCCCAGAAAGAGCAACCGGCGTCAGCAAGGGAGATCTCAGCTCTCCGAGGCCTGAATGGCGCAGCCAACTGGCTAGCAAATCAAACAAGGCCTGACATAGCCGTTCAGGTTTCTATGTCTCAGCAGTCGTTCCCAAACCCCCTGATCAAAGACATAGTGTACGCTAACCAGATGGTGCACCGGGCCCGCCAATACAAAGATGTAGAAATCAAGGTGAGGGCGATTGATTTCAACCAGTTGAGCATTTGCATGCACAGTGACGCTGCCTGGAGCAATGCCAAGGAGGACAGGACTCAGGCAGGCTACTTGCTAGCTTTCACAGACCACCGTCTGAAAGAGAACGAATCCGCTCCTTGGAGTCCGTTCCACTGGCGGTCGTACCGTCTCCAGCGAGTTGTCCCCTCCACGTTGGGAGGGGAAGCACAGGCTTTCTCCAATGCCTCTGCCGTAGCCGAGTGGATGTCACTGCTGATCGCAGAGGCTAAGGAAGGATCGTTTGACCTCAGAACCTGTCAGTCCCAGCTAAGGAGCACTCCGATAGTGGGTATCACTGATTGCAAAAGCCTCTTCGATCACGTGACTAGTGTGTCGTCTCTTTCGGGGGTCCAGGATAAGAGGGTCTGTGTTGATATCGCAATCATTAAGCAATGCATCGATCGTGTGGGGTTGACCATTAGGTGGTGTCCTACAGGGCTTATGTTGTGCGATGTACTCACCAAGGATAAATCTGATCCTGCAGACCTCCTAAGAGCGGCACTGGACCTTGGCCAATACCAGTTGTCCGAAGAAGCCACCGTACTGAAGGTGAAGAAACAGGCTCGCGAGCATGTGAAGGCCCGCCGTGCAAATCAGCATCAGCAAGCAAGCCAGTGGCAGCATGCACGGTAAAGGGCTGGTTTTTAGGATGTAGGTGATAGGGGTCCCTTGTTTTCTTCTGGTTTGTTTTGGGGTCTGTTCGGGTGTGGTTGACGTTCAGGGTTGCAGGGTAGCCAATGCCTGAAAGAAGCAGCGCAATCACCACATGATTGCGTCCTGGTGGGGAATCAGTATCAAGGCCACTCCTAGCTGCAGGGCAGTCAGCTTCCGAGTGACGCTATCAGTGTCTCCGTTTTCAAGTCTGTTCAAGCCAGTTCTGCGCTGCCAATTGCTCACTCCTTGCGCCAGCCGTTC